AGAAGTTTTGTGTTTCCAAAGAAAGAAAGAAAAAAAAAAAACCCAACGGTCAAAGCTCAGAGTCACCCCTTCCCCTATTCAACTCTGTCTCCCTATCCATCATCATCATTTACCAAAAATAAAAACAAAAAAAAATTCCCACTTTCCATCTCCGTCTCTCAATTTCTTATCTATATTCTAAAATTTGAAGCACACAAAATTTCTAACTCTGCTATTTTAACTCTACCAGAAATCACCATGGAAGCAAAATCAAAACTTTAAAGCAGGAGTAGATATTTAGAGACAAGGATTCAATGGGGACTGGTGCATCGAAGAACGCCGACGGAGGTTCCAATGGAGGGGAGGAGAGGGAGGAGAGTCTGGACCAAGCAGGAGGTCAGTTTTACGTATCGTTGAAGATGGAAAATTACAGGCTTAATGGGGAGCTTAGTCCTCACGTTTATGGCTCTGTCCCTCTCGTTGGCTCTTGGGATTCTTCCAAAGCTGTAAACTTTACTCATTTTTGGCATCTTCATCTCATTCTTTTGAATTTATATCAATCATTAGTTGTTTAATTTGTTTCTGTTATTATTATTCTTTTAAATATATATATATATCGATAGCTTTCGATGGAACGCGAATCAGCATCAATGTGGGAATTAAGCTTTGTAGTTCCTCCCAATCACGGTAAGAGTGTTCTCTCTTGAACGTCCTTTTGGTTGGCTTCCTGGAATTTTGCATTGTTGTAGTAAGCGACATGGGAACTATTGGCACTGTTAGTATGTACCGTATGGTATTCATATTTTTGCTTTTAATTGGATTTAACTTTTGTTTTGAATGAATTAAATGGTGTGTTTTGAATTTAATACTAGACAAAGTGTATAATTCCTTATTTTCTTGTTTGCTTTATAAAAGCAGAAACTTTAAGTTACTGAGAAGAAACTTGTATTAAGTACAGAGTAGAGATTTAGTTATGATATAAATATTTAGCTTTATGGAAGGACTTATGCATGTTCATGTTTCTTTGGAACAATTTATTTACTTGTATTGTAACACATACTTTTCATTGAATGTAGAAACTCTGGATTTCAAATTCCTTTTGAAGCCTAAGTACGGTAACATTCCTTGTATTGTTGAGGAGGGTCCAAATCGGCTTCTCACAGGGGGTGCCTTACAAGGGGATGCAAGGTCTGCACTATTTAAGTTAGAGAGTGAGGAAGTTCTTGAGTATCGAGTGTTCATTAAAGCAGACAGGGTTTCTCCCTTTGATCTTGCGGCTAGTTGGAGAGCCTACCAGGAGAATCTTCAGCCTTCAACTGTTCGTGGAATTCCTGATGTTAGTATTAATTCAGCACCTGCTCCAGGTCTAGAGGTGTGGGCTATTTGATTTTTTTATTTTTCATTGCTGGAAAATATAATTCAAGTCTTGATCTTTAAAATGCTTCTTCTATGAGTTTTTGTTTAGTTATTCAAATTGACTCTTTCAATGTTTTTGTTAATTAAATTCCTAGACTTGTCAAACTCTATTCTCTTTATAGAATGGTTCTCCAGCTAGTTTGGAGCTTGATCTTGAGCACTATGTTGTCCCTGCCCCATCAACTTCAGCGAATTCAGGTCTGGTTTATGCTGCTAACCTGGCAGAAACTCCACGGTCACTCACCGCTGCTGGGGTTTTTAATGATGGCTCAGGCAATGCATCACAGTTTAAAGAGCGTGGCATATCAGTTGATCAACCTGCAAGTTTAAAGGTTTATCTTTGTAACCAATATTTTCAATCTGTAAAACAAATTGTCTTAAGAGACATGAAGAGGTTTATCTTTGTAACCAATAATTTACTATCAGCTGCTGCATAATTTGTAAAATCCCATAGTTTGAACGCAACTTGAATCCTTGATTGAACTGTAAGAGCTTTTAATTGTGCACATGAGTGGATTTGGAAGCAATTATCTGATAATGATCAAGACTGAAGACAAGACACTTATATACTATATAGTGCATTTAAATGACTGTGCATTGAAATGCATTGAGAAATTACTCTGTTCTATTGCTTCTGTGTGGACCTACATCTAAAGGATTATGCCGACTATTTTGTAGGAGATGCAGGTTATCATACCAGATCCTCAAAAGGGGTATTCAGGACCTGAAATGGTTGAATCAAAATCTGTGGGAACCTTTTCACCTTTGCAAAAGGCAGACGGTCATAAAGGACTCTTTGTGGATAGGGGTGTTGGATCTCCCAGGCTGGTTAAATCATCTAGTTCAGGTGTTTTTAGTTTTAATCTTAAACTGGATACAGAGACAAAGGTTTGTGCCAAACTTTATTTTTCATTCTTAGGTGGTTTTGCTATCCATGTTGGTTGTGTTTTTATGTTCTATTTCTCTTTATTTTTAGAATTCAATGCCAGCAGCTGCTGGAGCTGTCGCTGCTGCAGCTGTAGCTGATCAGATGCTTGGACCAAAGGAGGAAAGACATTTAGCAATTGTCCTGGTATTTTCCTACATGACTTAGTCGGTGTTTTCGTTAGATTTCATCATAATTTTCCTTTTCTTTAATTCAGTTGTCAAGTTAGACTTAAAATTTCACCACCTTTTAAGTAGCCTGAGAGTTGGCATGTAAAAAGTTGGTTTGAGTGATGTAGTTCAGTCAATTGGTTAAAATAAGAAACTACTCAACTTGTTGAGAAAAAAAATATGTTTTATCAAGTTGCTTGTGTTTTTAGGTTGGTTTGCCAGCTCGGGGAAAGACTTTTACTGCAGTTAAACTTACAAGATATCTCCGGTGGTTGGGACATGATACCAAGCACTTCAATGTTGGAAAGGTCATCCAACTTTACATGATTCTTCTGCTTGCTTCTAGACTTGTTCATAGATGGAAGAAGATTAACTTGACTGTTTTTCTTCACTCAATATTATTGCTATTTTGCTGTTTAAAAAAAAAAAAAATTGACCTTTTTCTTTTCGTTTTTACCAGTATCGACGCCTCAAACATGGAGCTAATCAGGTATCTTGAGTTATCTTGTCTTTTTTCTTATCAACTATTGGATGAATATTCTGTGATGGGAGCAGGTTTGCTCTTTCCTTTTGGTGGTGTTCTTATATGTGCATGATGAAATCTAATACATTTCAATGAATAGGGATGAATACTACGAAAGATATTCATAATACTTGTTAACTTCTCTTTCTTTCTCCCTCCCTATGCTTTTCCATGCTGAGTACTTCTATTGATGATTCCCGTTATTGGGTTTCTCATAGTTGTAAAAATATGTTGCTTAACATTTTTCTTGTATTTTTACTGAGAGATCATGCATTCTTGGTGCAGTCTGCTGACTTTTTCCGAGCTGACAATCCTGAAGGCATAGAGGCACGAAATGAGGTGAATAATCATAGAAGAGTGTATTTTTTTTTTGGCTTGCTTATATCGAAAAGGAATGCTTTTTAATTAATTGCACGATGAAGTTTCTTTTATTATTGCTATTTGATTCTTAATTGTTGCTGGACCTAGGTTTGGACTACTTTCTGGGTTTCTTGAATTTGTATGATTAATAAATGCCATTCCCATATTAACCTTCTTCTCTGTACATAGTTTTAATATATCACATGCCACTAGGTAGCAGCCCTGGCAATGGATGATATGATAGCATGGATGCAAGAAGGTGGCCAGGTAAGTTGTTTTACTGTAGAGACTGTATTCTACCATATCATACTGCCTAATATTGTTCTATTAAATCTTTTAATTATAGGTTGGAATATTTGATGCAACTAATAGTACAAGGAGTCGAAGGAATATGCTAATGAAAATGGCTGAAGGAAAATGCAAGGTATAATTACCATAGACAAACTAATGAGTTCCCCACGACAACTTTATGCTAGTTAAGTTAATTTGGTGATTGTTATGTTTTAAAACCACTATATATATATATACATATATGTTTTAATAACTTCATCTTGCCTCATTGTTATCTTTTAAAAGGCAGTAATTGGGAGAAAATTGAACACCTGACTAATGCCTACTGATTCATTTATTTATACATTTGTCTATCTTTATTGGAGTCTTAGCATTTAATTAAATTATAAATGTCAAGACAATCGCTTAGGTATTGGATTCATGAATTATCAGAAAATGATTTATCTAGTTTAGAAAATTATAACTTTCTAACATATCTTTCTTGGCTTCTGTGGTAGATTATTTTTCTGGAAACTATATGCAATGATGAAAGAATTATTGAAAGAAACATACGCCTTAAAATTCAACAAAGCCCTGACTATGCAGAAGAGTAAGGCTATTTCCTAGGACCTCCATTTCTTGTACCAGACAGAAAAGTTTGCTTAGTCATTTATCAATGTGCTTTTGTAGGCCAGATTTTGAGGCTGGGTCACGAGACTTTAGAAATCGGTTAGCCAATTATGAAAAGGTAATTCTTGCAATATCATTGTAAATTGTCAACCTTGGTGAGTTTTGGTGTTACATAGAATCATAGATGTTTCAATATGTCATAAGTTATGAAATGATTCTCCTCTTACTAGGTATATGAGCCAGTTGAAGAAGGATCTTACATAAAAATGATCGATATGGTTAGTGGAAATGGTGGACAAATACAGGTAACTTTGGCGTCTTGTTTTTGCCCTTCTATTTTTGAAAATCTCTATAGTACATTACATCCTTCTCTTTTTAAATGTCTTAATAGCTCCAATTAGATTAGTCTGTGACCGTTGAATTTATATGTTTAATTTGATTCAGGTTAACAATATCAGTGGCTATCTTCCTGGGCGGATTGTGTTTTTCTTGGTATGTTGTATGATAGAAAATGTGTTTTTATTGCGCCACTAGAGCATTGGCTCATTGCAAGCCTCCTTTTCTCAGCTCTTCTTCTTTGTGCTCTCTGGAGGCATTGAACTTGAATTCCTTAGTGCTAGTCTATAGTACTTTGATTTCCAATCACACTAGGGATCTCTAATTTGGATTTGCAAAATCAGTATTCTCATGATATCTTCTGCAGGTGAATACTCATCTAACACCTCGGCCAATACTACTCACTAGGCATGGAGAGAGTCGTGATAATGTTAGAGGCAGAATTGGGGGTGATAGTGTATTGAGGTAATCTTTTTTCTTTGTTCTGATGTTGTTCGTATATCTGGCAGTTATATTTCCAAATCAAATGTTATTTTCTACTTGTAGTCTGAATTAAAGATAATTCTGCCCTTGTTAAAACAGTGATGCTGGAGAACTTTATTCAAAGAAACTCTCAAATTTTATTGAGAAGCGGCTGAAATCTGAAAGAGCTGCTTCTGTGAGTTCCACGGGTCCCTATTTTCAATCTTGAATTGGTTTTTAAAGTTCATGTTTTAGTTTACTGAAAGGCTTCAAATATTTCATGTTTTCCTTCCTGTTCGCCCTTCCACAGGTTTGAAACCCTCTGTATGTATTAAAATAGTGGAGTTAATTTGCCTGTTAGAGCAGAAAGTATCGATTGCTTATAGTTGTTCTAAAACTCTATCTGCAAGATCAATCAAGAAATTAATCTTCAAGATCTAAGATTGGCCTCCTTGTTTATGTGTTTGATATAAAGGTTTGCATAAATGAAATATATGACGTGGTGCAGGCTTCAACACTTCTATCTAGCTGAGCCATACTATGTAAAACATAGAAACGATATGATATAACTATTTGTTATTTTATTTTATTTTATTTTTTTGCTTGTGATCCAGATATGGACTAGCACACTGCAGAGAACCATCATCACAGCAAGTCCAATTGCTGGATTTCCCAAGGTTAGTATGAACCCATAAGAACACTAGTAGCCATTTTTAGCGACTGGTTGCGTGAATTAGTATATTTACACGTTATGTTATTCTTTAATAGATACAATGGCGTGCACTGGATGAGATTAATGCTGGAGTTTGTGATGGAATGAATTACAAGGAAATAAAGAAGAATATGCCTGAGGAATATGAGTATGTATCCCTGCAACTCTGCTCTCACTTTTGTCTATCTGTTGGGGTGAGAAAATTTAATCTGAAAAGGTTTTTATATGTAAGTGTAAGTTACCTATTTGTTATATATATTATTTTGTGATGCCCCTCTTTTACTCAGGTCTCGTGAGAAGGACAAGCTAAGGTATCGTTATCCTCGTGGGGAATCTTACCTGGATGTTATCCAAAGGTTTGCAACTTATTGGTTAACATTGAGTTATTTAAGACCTTGAAACTAATCTATGCAAAGTCATTAATTTGATTCAATATTTTCCACATTAATGCAGGCTGGAACCTGTAATTATCGAGCTTGAAAGGCAAAGAGCACCAGTGGTTGTGATATCTCACCAGGTTATACACTTATACTCATTCATAGCTACAAATCTCCACTTTACATAAAAATTCTAGTAATGTGGTCATTAATCTTGAATGTTTCTCTCGTCTGTTTAATCTTGCAGGCGGTGCTGAGAGCGCTGTATGCTTACTTTGCTGATAGGCCCCTGAAAGAAATTCCCCACATTGAGGTACTTGGTAGACAAATAAAAATTTGCATTATTATAACATTCATATTGGCAGCATAGCGAACAGTAGAAAAATTAAAGTCTAATGCAAGTATTCCCTCTCCAATTTGCAGGTACCACTTCATACCATCATAGAAATTCAAATGGGAGTCACGGGTGTCCAGGAGAAAAGATACAAACTCATGGACTGATTATACCCTGCTGAAAGTATGTTTCACTGTTAGTTTAATTATTTACCCAAATTGAAGATGATTTTTCCACTCATTTCTTTTGAATTCAATTCCTCCACCAATTGTAACATTAGCATGAATTTATTATCCTAACCCAAATACAACAATAAAAATTTGTAAAATGTTTTCATCACAACTCTGTCCTAAAATATTTAGCCTCTGAAGAAGGTTGGAGACACACATTACAGTTCTTAATTTCAAGAGATGATTTTTGTATAGGATTTTCATATTCCAATACAGACTAGTATGCTTCTGTTTCTTTTCTTTTTTGGGTATGCTTGGGTTGTGTCTGCCTGTTTGCACAAGAATTATGGACTAGCTCCATACAAGGGGAAAACCGTGAGAAGATCACGAGCCTACTCCAAGAAATCTCCATTATTACTTGCCTAAAACATGCAGCAAGAAAAGGTGGAAGCTTTAAAGTCTATTAAGCGGATATGTGGTTCTCTTCCTCAGTTCCCTCGTAGTCAATAAAAAGTCTTCTTTCTCTGTCTCGTTAGATACGCATTCACATGGTTCCTCTGAACCCTCAACATCAAATTGACTCCTCACCCCATCAGTCAAATCACCCTCAACAGTCACAAACACAAAAATGTCATACCAGATTTTCCACTCAATTCACCTTTGTCCAAAGTTCCCAAAAAGATCACCCAAAAGTAGACTCTTTATCTTTTTTTTTTCTTTGGCTGTTAAAGCTAACTCTTTAGACCTCTAAATCTCCTTGTCAAAAATTTGTCTTAAAGTTAATAGTGTATGCAAAGAAAGTTAGCGCATGTAATGTCACTTAACCACTATAAATAAATTAAAAAATAAATAAAGAAGAAGAAGAGATTGACTTTAATGCATAAAAACTAATTTTAGAATACTTGGTTTTACTAAGACAGATACCAGAAAATGGATTAGGGTAGGACCGTAGGAGAGATTGTTGAAAAGACAAACAATGTGGTTGGTCTTTGTTACCCCTAAACAACTAACATCACATGAATTCCACAAATCCCATCTTTCTGAGCTACCGTCGCCTTCACGAGTCCTTCATTTCATACATACGCATGAATTGCAATGGAACCCTATTGGTACTATTTCCTCCTTGGATTATGGGATTCTCTTTTGACTTCATTAAGTCCTGTTTTGACTACCATTACACGCAAATGTTTTTCTAGGGCACAGATCCCGTCCCATTGCTTTCTTTTTGTTTGAGTGTTTGTTTTGTGCACCAACTTCAGTGCAGTTGGAGCACACCCTCACGCTTAAATAACTTCAAAATTTGAACCTTATATTTGATTTATAAAACAATACTTACATTCACCATTCCATTAATTACCTTTTAAGTTTATGTTGGTATCATATTCTTTTAATTTTCTACTTTACTGCCCATATTATAACAACCTTCACTTTCCATCATCATATTCACACACAAAAATGTCAAGTACTTCTTCAGCTCTTGACTCTCCAAACCGTGGCTCCTCTAACCCACTTACCAATTTCCTCCGCACCTTCTCTTCCTACAACACCAATGTCATGCTGGCGGCACTCATTTCCCTGCTTCTCGTCATCCTCTTTGTTCTACTCCTCCACCTCTACGCCAGGTGGTTCTTGGCTCAGGTTCGCCAGAGGCGTCGACCCACCTCCGCTTCGGTTTCCCACGCCCTCCAACCCGACCGATTCCACCATTTCCACGCATTCAATTTCGACCCAGCTTTCCCAATGTCCCCCTCTAAGGGTCTCGACTCTGCCGCCATCTCCTCCATTCCGTTGTTCGTTTACAAGTCCGATGAATCCAAACTTGGTTTGGAATGTGTTATTTGTTTGAGTTCCTTCGAGGACAACGACGTCGGCAGAGAATTGCCCAAGTGCGGCCATGGTTTTCACGTCGACTGCATTGACATGTGGCTCCACTCTCACTCCAACTGCCCCATTTGCAGAGCTCCTCTGGCGACTGAAAGTAAGCTTGCCATTGAAGCGAACCCTGTCGAGGACAACACAGGGGAATCACCGATGACGGATGTCGTCATTGATGAGGAATCTGAAAATGATTATCAAGATGATGAGGCTTCATCTTCATCTTCATCTTCATCATCTTCTTTAGGATGTTCATTAAAGAGAATGCTGAGCTGGAATAGATCAGAGCAAAAGGTTCTTCAGAGATCTAATGCTACTGAGGTTGATGTCTGACAGTACTCTGAGAGTCAACTGTTTTGTGTTCATACTTTTAGAGTCTCTAATCACAGATTTTGTACATATGTCTTGGAAATTGAAGTCATCTTTCTCTAATAAGTTCTCATAAGACCTCTGTTCAATTCATATCATTATTTCCTGCTAACTTTGAAACCTTAGTCGTGTATGGATGATGAATTAAGAAGGTGGGTAGTAACTAGGAAGCATTGAACCAATGAAGGGTTGGATCAAGTGGTAAGCGGTTTATTTCAGTTTAAGTAAGATTTCGAGTTCAAGACTTCGTGTACGCAGGGAGACTCACCTATCATTTTCCAGGTGCGCAATGCGGGTTGGTCCAGATTAGTCGGGGCGAAACCTGGATACCAGTTTAAGAAACCAAAAATAAAAAACTAGGAAGCATTGAGGGTGGCTGAACGCTCAGGTCTATAATGGAGGACAGGAGCTATTTGGTACAAAAACCATTGTGGCACCGGTTAATATTTATCAGACTTTGCATCAATTATATGAGAGAGAGAGAGAGAGGAAGAGAAGGGCATCAACAACACAATTGCAAAGGACAGGTAAGTGCGTAGTTAGTTGTAGACATGGGTTTGCATTTATTGTTATTATAGATCCTTGGCTAGATATGGCCCATAATCTATTCAGAACTTTTGTCCTGTGCCATTACTTCTTCCAGTAGAGTGCAAAAATACTAGGAACAACTAAATTTTGCAAGAATACCGTTGGTTGTATCTTTTAATAAGATGCTTGTCTTTATATAATATTATAAATTTAACTTGACGTTTCAGGGTTAATATTTAAAAAAAATTTAAATTTTTTTTTAAATATATTATATTTAAGTGATAAGTTATATCTTTAAAATTATCACGAATAAGATTAATTTTGAATTGAATAAAATTAATTTAAAGGCACCTGATCATAATTAAAATAAATAAATAAATAATTTTGTAAGAGGATCCAAAAAAAAAAAAAAAAAACTAAATACATTTTTGCAAGAAACTCTTTCTTCATCATGTTACTCAACTAGAGATAATAATCATGGAGAATATCTCATGTGAATAGAATTCATAGCTAATAATTTGGAAAAAAAAAACCAGAATTATCCTTTAATTTGGTGGGTTAGTTCAAATTAATATTCATTCATACTTTAATGGAAGTTTGATATGAATCATTTATATAATTAGGTGCTTGTGGTTAACTTTCTATTTCTAGATGATGTTTGCTTGTAAGAAATATGTTTGGATTGAGTGTTCTTTCTTTGTTAGGTGACAATATGATTTTCAGATTTGCCTGTCCCCATATGTATTTTTGGGGACAAAAGACATTACTTTGAAACAGAACCATTTAATTAGATGAGGCCCACTTTCTTATTGATTCTTTCAAATTCTGATACAAATTCAAGAAGATTGGGAAAGATACCATGTCATGTATAAATAGCACATCGATTTCTCTTTTCGTTATAAAAAAAAAATAAAATAAAACCTGAAATTCATAAAAATATAGCTAAAAATTACTAACACACTTCAATTTTTATGGAGGGTGTTGTACTTGTAATTTAAGATTAAAGGAAAATTAGGATTATCTGATTAAAATAGATCATTTAGAGATTATCTATGAGTTAAAATTTAAATTATAGATAGAATTGATTAGGCATGAATTTGGAAAAAGATTTCTTACCAGAGGTTTAAAAGGAAAAAAATAAGAAAAAAATGTTGAATCTCGAGCTCTAAACCTCTCTCACCATTAATGAAATTTTGATGACTCCAATTGGTCTTGGTTTCTCCTTTGATTTATTTTTCAATGATAATAGAGAATAAGTAAGAAACTACTAATTAAGAACAGTTTTTTGCCGTAATTGGGATCAAAGAAGCTCTACAAATGGGGCAGCTGGACTTTTTACTAAGCCACTTATCCACACACTCAGAATGATATGCATGGTTACATAAAGGCAACACCTTTAGCCTATCTCCTTCTTCAAAAACACAAAGGCATATAGAACACTCCGTTCCTTCACAGGTGCCGCCGCTCCGGTTTTCTTGCATAGAGCGGTGCAAGGTGATGGGAGAAGTACTGTTGATGATGATGTTAGGGTGAAGCCCCTGTGTGGACCGGTGGTGGGTCCAAAGCCGGTGAGCGAGGAAGAAGAGAGCTATAATGAAGAGGATGAGAGCAAGGACAACTAGGAGGAAGAAAAGGCCACGGCTGTATGGATGGGTGATGGTGATGGATAAAGTGTTGGAGGACCATCCATTGTCTCTGGAGTCACAGGAAGCCATTGAAGAGTTTGTTTGAGGTTTTGATGAGAATTTTGGGGCGAGAATATATACATGGAGTAAGGGGAAAGTGGACAATTGATAGTGCATCCTATGTATATCCTTCCAGGTATGGACTGCC